CTGCTCCCGTAACGCGATAGTTCCTCCTTTCCTGCCACTGTCGTTCAGTGTAAAAGTGCCCAAGCAGAGGAAATATCGGAGTTGATCAGTGCCTGTACTTAGCGTACGCTGGCATTGTGTTTGTTTGTTTTTTTACTGGCATTCTGCTTTTAAAGATCCTTTAAGGCACTGATGGACTTATAAACCTGCATCGCTGATTTTGCAACTAAATATGGCCTCCAGGCTGCAGGGGATGAATTTGAGAGAAATTTAGGTTGGTGCATGCCAGCCGACTGCGGGATAGGGGCGGGGCGACATTTAGCCTCGCTGATCTTCACTAATCTTTACACGGCGCAACAAGGCACACGTCAATAATTTTAGGGATGGTGGTAGGTGTTTCTTCTGTTCTATGGTTTTTGGCCTTCGTGTGCATCATATTACGTGCCTCCCAAGCAGGGCATAGCTAGGATTTATTTAATTATTAAATAATGAGTGCCCGAACAGGGGCACACGGGATTCATAAGGAAGGGCCTGGAAATGCACCACACCAGGACCGTATTGTCGCAAAATGTGTTGGGTGCTATATTGTGGAAAAATGATGCAAACTACCCCCAAAATATGCCAACCAACGGACCTTTACACGGGAGGGGGGGGGGGGGAGCCCTCCCCTCCAAGTGAGTAGGAAACTAGACCCCAGGATCGCGCCATTTGTTTACCTTCTGTCGGGAGCTATCGATGCAAAGAAAAAAAAACAGCTAAAATCTGGGCCTCAGTAGGAAGACCCAGAGTACTTAACCTCTCCCTTGGCTACGTCCCTGCTCCCAAATCTCGATTTAAGACGCAAAGCAGTATCGACCAAAGGTGCTCATACAGTGACACAAAGTTCAGACCTGGTACTGTGATGCCCGGGAGGAGTGACCTCTCCCAACGGTTAGAGGTAACTTTAGGTGTGGGGGTAAGTGGATGGGATATTGACTGTCTCGATTATGATATCCAAGCGTATCGAAACGTTGACCGATTGAAATATAAATGATAGCGGCTGCCGTCTTGGCCAGTCATTTTTTACCTTTGCTATACATGAGTACACGTATATATTTTTTAGCTGTCTTGGTCGCTGATTTTTTACGTGACTTTAAATATATATATTCATATATATATATATATATATATATATATATATATATATATATATATATATATATATATACATGTATACATCTGCGTGCGTGCGGGCGTACACGCGTGTACATTAACTCTCTTCACACTAACATTGAACCTGGACAAGTGTTGTCGGAAATCAAAACAGCCCGCTGAGCTTTTAGCCCTCTGATCTGTACGGTAATTAGCTCATTTAACTGCAAATCCTCAAGTGCTTTTCGGTTTAGATTTTGAAACGCAGAGCCCTAGCACAGCAGCGGAACAGTATTTAGAGATGCACACCACACCCAGCCTGATTTGATTCAGGAAGTGTAAAACCTCCTAGACCTTTGTCCTTGTCTGTAGTACGGAATAATAATAATGATTATTTTTTCAGGTCATTTTGATTGATTTACCTGTTTTGTAGGAAAGACAGTGCTATTTGTGCTCTAAATTATTGATATTTTGCACTATCTTGAAAAGTACACCCTCTGAGGGATAACAGCAATGGTTCGTTTGACTGCCGCAATATGTTCTACGGTTGATTTTTGTGTGCATAGAATATGTTACATACTGTGTATAACCTTCCGTGACATGTTATATTCTTCAATTTTAGACCATCATTGTGCGACGCATAAATGTAATTTTTCGCAAGGTTATGTTTCTGTAACTGTGAACATTCCGGTTTTGCGATAAACCGTTGTATTTTACACTAGGGGCGTTCATTATCAAATAGTGGGTGATCATTTCTGGAGTTTCGATCGGTCGGCACTGAACATTGACTTATGTCTCGCTTTACTTGATTTAACTCTTTGTGAACGGCAGATTTCTTAACTTTCCCAGCTAACCAACCATACTCCTCTCCTTTTCCAAAAGGCGACATGTGGCGGTCATAAGGTGATTACATTGCGCAGTTCCCGCTTGCAATTGGTGCACGTGGTGTTTTAAAGTCAATTGT